GGGGACACCCCACCGAGGCTCCCCAGGGGTGGGGCGCTCCCCCGGCACCCACGGGGGCCCATCGCCAGCCCCGCACAGGAGGCTGACCCCACCCCCTTGCAGGTGGACGCCAAGGTCACGCTGGGCCTGGGCGGGGTGGCCGTGGTGCTGGGCGCTGTGATGGCTGCCATGGGCCTCTTCGCCTACCTGAGCGTCCCTTCCTCCCTGGTGGTCCTGCAAGTGGTGCCTTTCCTGGTGCTGGCCGTGGGAGCGGACAACATCTTCATCTTTGTCCTGGAGTACCAGGTGAGTGGGGCGCCCTGCCCGACACCCCCAGATGCCCCCAGGTGGGTTCCTGGGTGCTCCCCCCAGATGCCCCATGTGGATCTGTCACCCACATACCATCCTGTCACCTGCACTCGCCCAGGTGCCCTCTGTACGGTGTCAGGCCGCACGTGGGGGCATCAGGTAGCGTCCAGATTTAGCCTCTGCTGTTGGTGGATGTTGAGGTCCCAATGGCCATTGAGCCAAGGATGCCACAGACACCCCAAAACACACCCTGGATCCCTCTGGGCCAGGCTGAGAAGGGGGGCTGGGATGGCAGGGTCAGCTGGGGCTGGGAAGGTCGGCCGGCTGCCCCTCAGGCTCAGCTGGGACTCTGGGCGATGCCATGCAGGAGGGAGGGCACCTGCCCACCCACTGGCCAGCCCTCGACCCTGTCCTTGCTGTCCCCCACTCACCAGAGGCTGCCCCGGAGGCCTGGGGAGCGGCGGGAGGTGCACATCGGCCGGGCGCTTGGCCGCGTGGGGCCCAGCATGCTGCTGTGCAGCGTCTCCGAGGCCGTCTGCTTCTTCCTGGGTGAGAAGCCCCTGCCCCCCACTTCCCGGCCTGGGCAGCGGGGTGCGGGCAGCCCCCCTGCACCTGTGAGCAGACACTGTGTGCTGAGTCTCCTCTGTCCCCCAGGGGCCCTGACCCCCATGCCCGCCGTGCGAACCTTTGCGCTGACCTCTGGCCTCGCCCTGATCCTGGACTTCCTGCTGCAGATGTCGGCCTTCGTGGCCCTGGTGTCCCTCGACAGCAGGAGGCAGGAGGTAGGGGACCCGCTCGCCCGTTCTGGACGGGGCGGGGGAGGGGGCCTTCACTTTGTAGAGAGGCTCGGAGTGGGCTTGGGGCAGGGACGCTGTGGGGAACGTGCGGGCCTCGTCGTCCCCTCTCCCACAGAAAAGCAGTTTTGTTTTGGTCATTTTGGGGACTTGGATCAAACTTCCAAAGTGCATGTGGGTCCGGGTCTCGGCCGAGGGAGCTGCTGCCTCTGCACAGAACGCACAGGGACGCGGCCCCGGGGGAAGGTGCCCGCGGGCAGTGCCCTCGCTGGCCTGTGCGCCCGGGAGGGAGGGTGGCG